TCTTTTTTTTCACTTAATCACATATTGGCTCATAAAGATAGCAGATACTAATAAGTATGTATTGATTCATTTCCTCTTTTTTGTGACCAGACTTCCAGTGGATCCCCTGTGGGCTATAAGAGGCCTCAGCCTGCTCGCCCTGCTCCCAAACCACCAACCGATACTAAAAAAAATGCTGAAAAACCAGCAATCGCAGAAAGCGCTTCAAATGCTCATTCACCCGTGATGGTAGAAAAGTACTTTTATCTTTAGAAAGAATACTTGGGGAACTATGCGTCCTTGTGGGTTTTGTGACAAGGAAGCTAATGCCTTTTCATGGTTGTTAGACAAGCTCCGTGAACATAAGACAAAAACACAAACTAAATGTGGACTTCTCAGAGTTGTGCTGACGTATTATATATAACAGGTCAGTGTTAAAACCACAGACCATATAGAAGAAAAGGTGTAGCCATTGTGACATCAGTCACTAGTTTTATTTTACTCCAGCTGGGGCCAGAATTGATCAAGATAGATATCATGCAGTGCTGGTAAAGACCAAAAACTCAGCTGGGAGGTGTTTAATGAGGTCACTGAACAAGCAAGCATCTATTTCTGTACATTTTCATGCCTTTTTGGAACCACATTAGTCACCACATGCAGGCTCCTAGAAAGACTGAAAGTTTAAGATACCATGAGTTGTATTCACTTTTCAAACTCACGGCCAAGCCTAACTTTTACATTCATTCTGTGCTAGTTACAAGAATCCAGAAAGTCACAGGAATAACTAATGGAGAACACAATCTGCATTTGATCAGGCCAAACCTTTGTTCCATTTAGTCCTTTTCTCGCTATCCCTTTGTGAATTTGGTAATGTCTTTGAATGTTTATCCTGTTCAAAGGTCCTCTTCTTCAATACGTCTCTGATATGATCCATAGCTGACTCAATGACTGGAAGCTTAATTTTTTAACCTGAAAGTTTTTCCTAATGCTCTTCCCACTAGCGATGGCTTTTCCACAGCATTCCCACATAATCACTGTCTATTTGTAGATGTATTCTGTGATGACATTTAGAGTTTGTGGAGATGTCAATGGAAAATTGTACTTAGTAGTCAGTATAAGCTTTTAATGATATAAGTTTGCATGTGATAGAATACTGCATAATAACCTTTTGATGACTTAGACTGTTGTTCACTACAAGACTTGTTCTTCTCACAGCGATAATAAGAGCTGAACAAGCGGTTTCACTCCCTACCAGGAAGTGGAGAGAACATTTTTATCTTCACTCCCTAACAAGAAGAGGGGCCGCATCCTTCAGAATCACACACACATACACCTAACATACACAACCACATATGCACCTGCTCACGTATCAACATTCCACTGAACAAATGTATTCACTGTTGTATTATTCTTGTGTATAAATAAAGACAAGTGCAAGAACAGAGCGCACATCACAGGGCCCCCACTCTGATGTGAGCGCTCTCTGACCGCCCTTGCAAGTAAAAACTGCAGCGTGTGTTTCTCCACTCTCTGACTCTCCGCTGAAGAAGTGTCTTTTAGAATAAATCTCTTGACAGGAGAGTGTATATTTTTTTAATTCAAATGCTCTGACTGACTTTGATATTCCTGCCAGTCCAGAAAATTGTTTGAATTTATTGTAAATGCTACATGTATAATTTGCAATTTATTTTTCTGCCACAGACTCCAGATCTACACATTGAACAGGCTCCTCCTCCCCCTCCTCAGCCTCATCGTTTTCCAGCTTCCCACAGCAGTTATGGCCAGATGAGTTCATCAGCGAGTCAAAGATACGAGGTAAGGGCTCCATCCTCATCAAGATATTTCCCTCAGGTCATAAACGTAGAGTCAGACTTCTCTTCAACATCTGAATGTGTAATATATTATTTTCTAAGCTGGCGTTAAATTGTTATTAGAACAAAAATACATGCATGGAACCTGAATCTTTGTTGAATCAAATAGTATTATGCATTTTCATTTTCTTTCTTTCTTTCTTTCTTTTTTTTTAAAGAACACATCAGATCATCAATCCAGGCCTCCCTCTGCAGGCTCCACACATCTAACTCCTGTTTTTCCAGCTCTTTCTCAGGAATCACCAAACGTAAGTGAGCAAACTAAACCGCAAACTTAAAGTGATGCACTACAGAGAACGCTTCTTCTCTGAGCTTCTCTGAACCTATACAAGCAAACATAGCGTTTTCACCGGTTTATAGATCTGTTCTTCATCTCCCTCCTGCTCCCCCATGCAGCTCTACGGCAGCCCATTAAATGTATGGGAACATTTTTGAAATTTGGCACAACAGTTGGTGACCGTCCCCTGATTAATTTCTCCAAGTTTCGTGTCAGTATCTTGAGCTACCAGCCAAAGCTAGTCAAAGCTGGACCTGTATTTAAACACATCCCTTTTGAAGCAAACGAGTTTCAGTTTGACTAAATTCGAATGAATAAGGTGGAGACACCCTCACACAGGAAATGAGATTATATTTCAGCAACTGTTTACATCTCTTGCCACAAAACTTTGTTTCTTGATCACTGGCTACAGTTGCCACGTCAACTTTGACCAGCTAAACTGCCTGGCTATTCACTGTTGCTTGCAACTATAGTCGAGATAATATTTTACCAGAGTTTTAGTAATATTGTGGCAATGTTGGTCCAACCCAGCAGTAAACAGCAGGAATACTCAGCTCTGTAAAATGTTGGACTACACTCAGATTTTTGTTCATACTCAAGCACATCATGCAACTACAACTTGAGAGGAAGTAGGTCGTTGATTCTCAGACCACAAACCGGACTAACAAACTTTTCTTTTCATCTCATCTCCAGGAATCCCCCAGCAGCAGCACTATCTCAGGGAGAAACTCTTCGCCTTTACGAGTATGAGAGTTGGTCCTTGGATGCACGCCATCACAGCGATTAACAGTGCAGAAAAGCATGCGCTCATCATTAAGAGATGGAATGACAGATAATAAAGACTTTACACCACACTTATATTACGTGTCGAGCACTGACAAGCACACTTTATCAAGGTCAACCCACAAAGGGAATTTTTGGGATTATTTTTAAGCATTAAGATTAGTAATAAAAATATTTCTTGTCTGTAAAAAACCTAATATGCCACTGGTTCCAGAAATGACTTCCTGATCCAACCTGTTCCATTTATTCCTTTTGAAAAATGCTTTTTTATTTCCATTAGATCTGTTTTTATTCCCTTTTCTGGATTTGGTTTTGTCTTTGGAGGATTAATCTGTTGAAAGATCTGCTTCTGGCTAAATGCTAAATAAATGTGTAATTTGCACTTTATTTTTTGCCACAGAATCCAGATCTGCATATTAAACAGCCTCCTCCTCCCCCTCCTCGGCCTCATCGTTTTCAAAGTCCCCCCCAATATTATGAAACACAGTCTTCAGCGAGTCAGAGATACGAGGTAAGTGCTCCATGCTCAACAAGATATTTCCCTCATGTCATAAATGTAAAGACAGACTTCTCTGAGACATCTGAATGTGAATTGTAATATTTTCTAAGCTGGAGCTAAATAAGTATTACAATAAGAGGACATAAATAGGACCTGACTCTCTCTAGTTAAAATAGTATTATATGAAATATTTGTCTTATGTTAACTTTTTGTGTGTGACTAGAACAAGCCAGAATGTCAGTCCCCACCTTCCCCTGCAGGCTCCACGCATCTAACTCCTGTCTCACAGGCTCGTTCTCAGGAATCACTGAACGTCACTGGAAACAACTACAGTACACGGGTAAACTGCAAATTAAAAGTCATGCAATATGGATTCAGACTTCTCTCGGGTTTCACAAACTAATGCTACACAGTGTTTATATGTTTTTACATTATCTCCCTCCTGCTCTACCATGCAGGTCCATAGCAGCTCACATATTTTTTTGTGAGTTAAAATTTCTGAAATTTGTCACAACAGCTGGTGACGGTCCACTGATTAACTTGTCCAAGTTTCAAGTCTGTACGTTGAGCTACCAGCTGATCGCTTTTAAAAAATATCTCTGTGCTTCATCACGCTATAAAGTCACAGTTTTTTATTGAATTTCATAAGCCACAAATTCTTTTTCAAGCATTTACATTCAAGGCAACCGGCCTCTTTGAAGAAGTGGGTTTTCTTTCATGATCTGTACTGTTGAAAGGCCTGCCAGTCCTGAACACCAAGTCATTTTAAAACTAAGGCACTTGGATTTTATATCTAGTAGTATATATAAAATCTTCTTAAAAACGAAAGGTTTCTCCCACGCTAAGTCCAGATGAACAGAATCAACCTTTTTGGGACTACACAGACTTATCTCCCTAATCTGGACCCATTGTATAACATCAGTGACATAAATGTATAAACCCTGACATAAGAGGAAAAATCAGTTGAATTGGATTTCTCCTCTGTGTACCACGTCTGTGACTAGCAATAACACAACTGTGAGAGACAAGCGGCTTTCACGGCTGGAAAATTTCCACAGCAGAGTCACCTGTGAAACTCATGGAAATAATAATGATCTTGAAGTTGATTATAACAATTTCCAGCTATGGAAGTGGCTTATTTTATTTACCTGAACTGGAGTATTCCTGTTATAGGAAAGCTGACAACCAAAATATTATGTCCATTACAGAACACACCACCACAGCTTCCACTGAACCCACCATCATCACACTCAGTGTCTGGAAGATCAGTGCACTCTGAGACACCTCGGTACCTCGAGATCCTTCAGGATGATTCAGAGGAGTTGGTGAGAGAGACAGCGCGCTCTGCAGTTATACGACACGCACGCTTCATAATATACACATGTATTAAAGTTGTCTTTTGGTTACTGTTACGGTAAAAAGGACATGGATGTAAGTCAGTTCATTGTTTTTACAAATGACAAGTTGGTGTTTGCAGACAAATGCATGACAAAGATCAGGGTTTTCCTGTAAAGTCTACCTGATCTTTTATCTAACTGTGATTTAGTACAATGTGATCTTTCCCTCGTCAGCGAGTGATTTTCATATAAAAATGATCTGTTTTCCTCAGGACCTCAGCGGGCTATTGACCTGGTTCAACAGAATGATAAGTAAGGAAAAAATTTGTTTCATAATTGCCTTGAAAAAAGGCATTTTTATTCTTTCTTTTATTCCAAGAAGTAGTAATTAATGTAAAAAACATGAAAAAGATTTGTGAAAAATGATCCTTGCTAACACAGAGCATTATTATATTGTCCAGTTTATTGTATTCATTTCTGTGCAATCATTTCAGCATCCTCTGATTCGTCTTTGTCACTCTATGGTGTCAGCAAAGAGGATGAAACGAGGTAACCAAAAACATGAAAATCTGCATAAGCGTGATGATGGAAGTCAGCGAGATAAGCTGTTGTGTACCTAATTACATGAGCTACAACTTTGTGTCTCTTCTGTCACTGCTCTTTGAAGCTCAATCAGTCAGAGATCCATGAATGTTGCAGAGGCTTGGCGTCTCTACAATCTTCTAATGAGTAAACGAAAAGAAGACCTGCAGAAGATCATCACAGATTTCCATTCCATCTGTGAGAAGCTAAACAAGATCAAGAAGAACAACAAAAACATGGGTATTGCCGGAGGGACCACGGCTTCTGTGGGAGGGGTAGCTGCAGTGGTGGGGATCGTCCTAGCTCCGGTGACCATGGGTGCCTCGCTGATTGCGACAGCTGTCGGCTCTGGCATGATTGCATCTGCTGTAGGTATGGGCGCTCACGCCGCTATAGTCAGCAAGAAGATGGTGACGAGGACGGCAGTTGAGAAACTGGTAAATGACTACATGGAAGGTGTCGCTGATCTGGAACGCTGTCTAGATTATATTATCTTCACAGTGATGGAGCTGCGAAGGCACGGCATTGCTAGGTTAAAGAGTGCAGGCGCTCATCTGGATGCGGTGAGGATGTTATACATATTATGTGATGGAAAAAGCAACACAGACATTCATGGGGGGAGAGCTGCACAATCAGGTGGGACGTCATCTGAGAAATTACTTCAAGCTTTTACCAAGGAAATGGATCTTTATTTTACAGAAAAGAATGGTCAGAAGCTGAAGAAGTCAAATAAGAGCATTTTTTCGGGTAAAGTTTGCCTGCTGGTTGATGGTCTACAGGAAGGACTGGATCATCTGATTGACATGTGGAAAAAGTTATCTTGAATCAAAGACCACTGTGTTTGTCCTTTGTGTGTGTGTGTGTGTGTGTGTGTGTGTGTGTGTGTGTGTGTGTGTGTGTG